TACAGCAGGGAAGAAAAAAAAAAAAAAAAAAAGAAAACACACTGATTGAAACAGAAATACATAGAAGAATAAAGATAGTATATATATATATATATATATATAAAAATGGAAGACAAGTATGGATGTATGGACAGACAGACAGACAGACAGACAGACAGACGTCAAATGCAATACCTTTTTTCCCTAATCTCTTTTAATTGGCTAAGAAATCAAATACATTGCTGGACAATAAACAATAATTTATATTCTATAATATTTTTCCTATATTTTCCTAATGACAATTTTATTGTTTTATATGTACCAACACTTTTTTCCATTTTTATCACAGAATAAGGCTGAAAGGACTGTAACAAATGATATGTCAATTAGCACTACGTTATTTATATAATCTATTTATTATCTGGAGATGACTTGGAAAAACACAAACAATATATTGTCGCATTCGTGTTTATTGTCTATTGTCACGTTTTAAAAGTCAAAACGTTTCTGCTTTTTATTAAAGCAGGGGGTCTAATGCCATATCATGCAATATGAATTATCTACACTGTTAAAGAGTTGGATTCTCATGCTTAACATGGCCAAAGTTTCAAAAACTATTTGAATGTATGACGGAGTAATTCTGTGTCAAATACAGTCCTTCCAGGTTTGTACAAGTTTCGGAAAGTTTTTTTTCGAGCATGGCCCTTCATGACGTCATGAAGAAAAGAAAACTTGCTCAAGAAAAATGTCTCTAAAGGAGTGTTTTTGGATGTGAGGGAAAGATAACCTTGTTCAGCTCCCCAAAAAACCCATCGTTACTTGAACAGTGGATGCAGTTTGTTTTTCTAGGGCAGCAACGGAGTTTCGCAAGTGTTTATTTGTTCCTGTTATTTCGGTGATGAATGTTTTATAAACAAGGCCCAGTTCGGCGCTGGATTTGCACATGGTTTGATACTGAGAGACGGAGCGAACCCAGCGATAAAAGATCCTGGTCATGATTCGGAACTGGTCATGATTCTGATTGTAAAGCTGTATATTTCTTTTATAAATATGATAAGACTAAAGACTCTTTGCAGGTATGAAGGGTGCAATACTACTCTATAGGTACTAAAGATTAACATGAGATTGGGCAAAACTGTGTGTGTTATGTCCCTTTTAGGCTTGGATACAGCATTAGCTAGATGCTTTTGTCCATATTAGGGATTTCCTGGCACGTCATAAGTCACCGTTACTTCTATGAGTTCGTTTCGGACTTTCAGTGCAAGAGCGCCCTCCAGCTTCGAGTATGAATGAAACAAACACTGCATGAGAGTTTCACATCACCTTATTTTGGATACAACAAAATGTCTTCATGCATAGACTATCTTGTCTCTTTGAATTTAAATCTAGATTTATTCAAACCGCCATGTGAACATATTTTCCCCAAAAAGTGCAGGGGACGAAAGCCTGACTGATTAATATAGACACACAGACAGAAAAACAGACAGAACAATAGATTGACAGCCAGACAGCCAGGGAGAACTGACATCTATGTGACTGCAATTCAAACTGATGATTCATTCATTAGGTTATTGAAAGTGACTAACCTCCCCCACCATGCCGTTCCACACATTATTGATCTTCTTGCCATGTTTGCCATTTGTGACCAGGTAAAGATCATAGGTGAACTTTACATTTCTGGCGATCTTCTTCAGGATGTCTATACAAAAGCCCTTACAGCACTTCTTGATATAGGAGCCCTCCGTGGTATTACTGCAGCATATACAGGCACAGCAATATAGAAAACAGCTGATACTGAGAAAGACTGAAGATAACTCAATCTAATATGTTCTAAATTTAACACACACAAAAGTTCATAACCACATTAGAGACTGCACAATTATTTCTGTATTCCCCAGTAAAAGAAAGCTCTTATGCTAAAGGTTAAGATAGGATATATAATGCCTGCACAACCTGCTAGGTTATTAAAAACTGGTATTAGCTGCTATAGTTTTTCTTTAAAGTTAAATAAACAAAAAAAACTCACTCTTTAATGTGTTTCCTGCAAGGTACAGAGTTGCGCATGCATGTGCCAGTAAGAATGTCCACATCATCCACTATAACAGAGGGTCTTTCCTCTAGAGTCACAATGCTCAAGTGGTTCTCATCAGCGTCCATGTCCCCAAATGAGTTATAACGTGGCCAAACTGGAAACTTCAACTTTAACGTGTGGTTTTCCCATCGTCCCATCTGTAGACACACACAAACAAACATTGGCTCACAAATAAACAAGGTTTGAAGGTTCTTCTGAAGTGGCCTCCATTATTATTATAAGTTTGGGGACAAAACTGAGGTTTTCCGCTCTTCAAAGCAAAGTGAAGAAATGTTATTAGAGAAACATTGTATATTTTATCCAGCAAGCAAATAAGTCACATTCAAAGACTGGGACCCAGGTCAATTTTTCCTTCAGTCTTATTTCCTTATTCTAATTCGCCCTCTTTTAGAATGTTTTTAACCTCTAGATTTTAGGGGTGTATATATATTATATATTAAATATATTTATATAGTATATTCTTTTTAATATTTTGTTTAATATTAATATTTTAAATCTTTTGACATTTTTGCAGGCAATTCTCAACTGGTGGTTTGTAGCCTAGAAATTGTTTGCAGGCCTGTTTTGATGGGGTTTTACTGGCAACAAGGGAAAAAAAGCAAAATGCAAATAATAAAACACTAACCTAGCCTACAAATGTGCACAGTCAGGACAGAAAAATAAATGTGCTTATCAAGTTTTAAAACGGAGGAGAAAATGCTTCCCATATCTTTTGTTGTTTACGTTAAAGGCTGTCCAATCAAACTTTATGGTATTTTGGTGCAAATCCATCTGTCACTTATAATAATATGACTAATACCAATATTATATTTGGCCTGGTATTTGTTCCATGTGTTAGGCTGATAAATCACACTTGTGCTGCTGTTTATGCATTAGCAAAATTCTCAGTTTTACCATTCAGCCTATGTCATGTTAATCATTTCACACATTGTTTGGCCTGTGTAGTTCATGCTAATATTAATCAATGTTAATGTTACTTTTGTACAATAAACAATTTTAGCCACAACTCGATGTCCAAGATAATATTGGGGTCCTGATACAAACGAAGAGTTCATTTGCAAAAACCGATAAACACCACTTAAAAAAAAAAAGAGAGCTGATTGCCGTGCATTATTCTCCACATATAGCGTGATCTGAACCCTAAACACATTTTGTCTAAAAAGCCGGTTTTGTCCACTTTCAAGGCATCACGAGTTCACGTTTTACTGCAGAAGCCGAGAAGCGTCCTTGTTGTTTTTGAACAGAAGCCGATAAGTCCATTTTAGCAAATCAGCACGCTGTATTCAGGTCAGGTGACAAGACTACTTTCACTTTGAAAAGACGTGCTAGCTGAGAGGAGTTTCGTCAAAGCTGACTAAAAGTGATCGAGAATGGATAATTTTGATGAACTTGATGAACCTGTGATATCTTCTTCAGGGCGAAAAAGGAAAATAAAAGCTGAAACGATTTCACGGAACCTTGCAAAAGCAGCGCGTTACAATGGTGAGGGAAAAGCTTTGTGTATTGCGTGTAATCACATACATACAGTTTATGATCACAACAACAACAACGTTTGTCAGGCATCTACATTTTCATCTGAGGAGATTACAAAGATTAAATGAGTGTTTTTTTAAACTCTAAAACATGAAATGTGGAGTTATCTGCTTTTGCCAAAAAAACGACTGTTGGAGTTATCTGCTTTTGCTATAAAACAAACTTTTAATATGTAAAAAAAACATACTTTCAATTAACATTAATTTTGTAAATGACCTGTATTTGTTTAAGTTATTATTACTTAATCAAAACAACCCTACTGCAGTTTAGATTGATATTACTTGGAATGCGCAATAAAACAAACATGTAAATGATAAAAATGGAGTAATCGGTTTTTGCAAATGAACTCTTCAAAACCAGTTAGGAATCACAGATTTAAATAGTCCTGTGGGGTACAAACTAATTTTAAGAAGTGCCTTAAAACTGCATGTGTACTAATTACAAAAGAAAAAAGCTGTTTAAAGTCATTTCAGATAGCACGGCACACTGCAAGATATTGCTGTTGCTGCTTGAAATGCCATGTCGACTACTGCCATGTCAAATTTACATCATGTATATGCACAGCACTCTATGCAATAGTTATGCATTCCGTGAGGTGTGTGTGCTTTTCTCTTGCTGCTTGAAATGCCATGTCAGCTACCACTGTAACAACATAATGTGTCAAGTTTACCCCATGTATGTGCACTGCACTCTTCATGCAGTAGTTATGTGTTCCGTCAAGTGCGTGTGCTCATCTATAAGCTCCGATAACACGATCGGCTCACACTCTGTTCTAGCCCCGCTGCAGTGAGAAATGATTAGTGTCACTCTTTTCACACAATCACTACAGGGTTTTAATGTGAGTGTGTGTGTGTCTTCACACACACTGCAGGGCACTGTCAAAACACACAGCATCCAACACACCTCAGAGAAATAACAACTCATTAAAAGAACGCATGAGTGAGCAAACGATTACGAAAACGAGTGTGTGAAGCGCCGAGATAGAATAGGAGAACATGTAAAGCTAATTAGAGAAAGGGAGCAAAGACAGAGAATAGATTACTGTACAAAAAAAATGCAAATTATTATTGCTAATAGCCAAAATAGAGAGAGAAATGAAAAAGGGCACAATCGAATTGGATGGAGACACATGTGCACTCTTCTCCAATTTAAAACTCGCAATAAATTCGTTAGGAAACCAATGCCTTAATAAGGGCTATTTTGACTCTTTATGGCTAAGTAAACAATAGTTTAAGTCACGTGCATAAAAAAAACCCAGGCTGGGAAAAGGGAAGTACAAATGAAATGTTCTTCTTCTCTAATAGCAAAGTCCAGTGCATTTTCAGTCACAGTCACAAAAAGGCTCTGAGCTAGTAAACAGACTATTGATTGCTTATGGTTCCAGAATCCCTTACAGGCAGAGCTAATAGAAGAAAATGAAGATTTGGGACGGATATAAAGATTAAAGGCTCTTACCTTCTCCCATTCCCTCTGTGTGTTCAGAACAATGACAACCAGCTTGGGATTGACTTGGTAGCCATCGTCCATGAACGAATGATCTCTACCCCCTAGATTGACTCCCATCATATATCTGCAACAAACACACAGACGCACAAAATATCAGCAAAGTTACGACATGATTTAAGGTTTACTTATTGGTCTGTCTGTCTGTCTGTCTGTCAATCTATCTATCTGTCATATTGTGTTCGGACCAAAGTTTTCATTGTCTAAATGTTCTTTCAAACTGTTTGGGGGTGGAATGCAAGTCATTTAATGAAATATAAGTGAAAAGCTCCAAGGTAAACAATATAAATAACGCCTGATTGAACGCCATTAGCTGTCTTATCTATTTTCGCAAGACATTAAATTGCCTTTGCAATCTTAAATGAGGTAAACACATCAGTCCATCCTTGTTCTGTTTTTGTAGCCAAAACCCAAATTCAATGAGCCAGCAAACACAAACGCAAAGTCTTGCAAATGCATTTAGACACTCAACTAATTCATTTTAAATGGACAAATTATGCATCGTTTTTTCATCTTTCAATGCATTAAAACTTTAAATTATTTTGATGTTGAACGTTAGAAGTATTCTGAACAACAGCAACAACAGTTTAAAGACCTGTATCTTCACAATTTAAAATTTGGTAGATCCACCCTTTGCTGCAAAGACAAACAATTCTTAGGGTGTGTATGTAGGAGCTTCATACACTCTACAGGTGTTAATTTGTCCTTTAATTGAATTCTGGCGGATTTGCTCCAGGTTGTTCAGGGTAATAGGATGACACTTATGCTGTTTGTAAATTTAGTTTCACATACTGATGTTGTATGGAAATTCGCCTTTATCTGATGCTTTTTTGTTATCAATTACTGGCTTTTTTGTTTGTTTGTTTCAGAAACAGGTTCTCTTGTTTTTTTTTGAGTGTGTTCTTCATCTTTTCTGTAGCCATACACCAATTTACACCAAACTGTTATTCACTCATAAATCTTCTCCTCTGCATGGACAGTTTTCATGGTGTTTCTTGTTAGGAGCTTGACAGACTCCATCCCGTTTCAAAGCCTTAATATACTGTATATATATAT